AGAGCGAGAGCAAATTTACATCAACCCAACGGAGTGTTTTGTCACCCCATGGACTGCCTGTATTTGAGCTTTTTAAGTGAGTTTGCCCTTCCTGCTCTCCATACATGGTGTTTCTGTGTTTGAGGCCAATAGGCTTTCCCCAGATATTTCATAAATAGACGACATATTGTCAGCCAATCTGATTACTTCACTCCAGAGAAGACGCTTGGCTTTATTCCTGTTCTTTTCCATTTCATCCTGGTTTTCGTTGACTTTGGGGGGATTCACATCACCTACATCTGATGCTCAATCACTGAGCTCTCTGCTTGAATGAGTGAAAACCAGGCTTAGTTGGGACCTGTTTCTTTAAGGAGCCCTGGTGGCCTGGTGGTTATATATTGGGCTACTAACTGCAAGGTCAGTAGTTCAAAACCACCAGTTGCTCTGAGTGAGAAAGACGGGGCTTTCTACTCCTGTAAAGGGTTACAGTCTTGGAAATCCACAGGGTCGTTTTGGTTGGAATCTATCTTTGACGTTAGTGGTGGTTTAGTGGTGGAACTCTTGCCTCCTAGGTGGGAGACCCAAGATCAGTTCCCTGACAATGAACCTCATATGTAGCCACTGCCTGCCTGTCAGTGGAGGCTTAGTGTTGCTGTGATGTGGAACAGGGTTCAGCTGAGCTCCCAGACTCAGGTGAGGCTAGGAAGAGAGGCCCAGTGATCTGAGCATCAGCCAAGGAAAGCCCTGTGCATCGCCTTGGTCTGATCTGTGATCAGTCACGAGAATGGCTCATTGTTTCCTTCCTTTGTGCAAGGGATCGCAGTAGTAGGTGAGTGACGTGTTTGCTGCAACACTGCAACTGCGCTCCTCAGAATCTGCTTCCTACTGCTCTGTCCTTATCCATCTGCCTCCTTCCTGCCTACAAAACCGGACGCACCACTCCCAGGACCCTCTCCCTGCCCCCATGCCTGGGTTCCTCTTGCCTCTTCAAGAGTCTCCTTTGTACACTTTCCCCCACCTCCCAAATCTAAGGCGTAGGTCCACAAAATTATTTGGCCTACCACCCTCTTTTCAGAAAAAACAAAGCAAAACAAAAAACCTCAGTGCTCCCCCTGGCCCCCCTCGGCAATTAAGAACTTTTGTAATGTAGTCCACTATCCAGGATGAAGTGTCGATATCTACTTTTGAAGTCTTCCCCCTACTGTCCAACTGCCCGCCCCCAGCCCCCTAAGGGCCAGTATTGCCCACTTTGGGAACACTGAATCATTGGCCCCTCGGAGCTCTTTCCTGGCCTTCACAGGCACTCTGCAGCCGGTATTCCCAGCCTCATGGCTTTAAGCTCTCTCAAGCCTGGGAAGTCTCAACTTACACCTGAACTCTAGACTCGCGCTGCCTGTTCTTGCTTCCTTTGAATTTCTGTTGCTGCTGTCGTCAGGCGCCAAGGGGTCAGTGTCTGGTGACCCGTGCACAACAACGAGGCACCACCCAGGCCTGCACCTTCCTCACAATTGTTTTATGCCCATTGTTACAGCCACTGTGTCAGTCCATCTCGTTGGGCTGCCCCTCTACTTAACCAACCCGGACAGCTCCTTGGGGTACAAATGACCCTGTTTCTCTGACTGCCTCCCCCCTCCCCTCCCACACACCCACACTATGTACTTGCTTGTTCTGTGCCTGTGTGACCGGCCTTTCATATCACTCAGTAGTGAGGGAGACACACCGGGCCCCGCATTGACCCCAGCTGGTTGTTTCTATACATTTCTGTGCACTGTGGAGTGGGTAGATAGGACAGGTTTCAGGGTCCTTGTTCTAACAAACAAATCTGTCTTGGAAGAAGTACAGCCACCACAATGCTCCTTAGAGGCCATACTTTAGACATGTGGTCAGGAAGCATCGGTGCCTGGAGAAGGACAGCATGCTCAGTGAAGTGGAGCAGCAGCGAGGGAGAGGAAGGCCCTCGGCAAGATCGACTGGCACAGTGGCTGCAATAGTGGACTCAAACATAAGAACAATTGCAGGCCTGGGCAGTGCTTCATTCTGTTGTACATAGAGTTATATGTATGAGTCAGAACTGACCGGATGGCTCCCAGCAGCAGCAACATTATCTCACAGGGCCAGGGGGTTGTCATTCAGTCTGTAATGTGTCTAAAATGTGATCTGTCAGCAAATCTTGCTGCGCTGTATTAACATCCTTTCCCCTCCATTGTCATCGCACCCTGCGTGATGCCAGTCTTTATCGCTGGTTTCTCCCCTTTCCTCCGGTTCACTTTCTTCCGGTCCCAGAACTCCTCAGGCCTGTGCTCCTCCAGTGAGTGGGAGCCGTGTCCTTACTGGGGCCTTCTGTGCCAGGCTCCCTCCAGCATGGGATCTTCTGTCCTCTCCCATCTCTGGCCTCAATGCTTTCTTCTTCCAGCTCCCTCCAATCTCCTGCCAGTTCCCTCTGAGCCTTTGCATTTGCCCTTCCCTGAACTCTTTCTATAAATCAGCATAACTGACATCATTGCACGGACTTTATTATACTGCCCTCCCTCATCTCCTTCAGGTCTCCGCTCGGATGTCATCTTCTCAGTGGGGTCTTTCTGCCCATCCTATTGGAAATAACTTGACCCCTACACTTCTTATCCTTGCTCCCTGCCTAATTTTCTTAGCTGCTGGACAAGGAATCTTGGTGGCATAGTGGGTTCTACATTGGACTGCTACCCTCAGTCAGCAGTTTGAAACCACCAGCTGCTCTGCGAGAGAAAGGTGAGGCTTTCTACTCCCGTAAACAGTTCCAGCCTTGGAAACCCAGAGGCCAGTTATACCTTGTCTGATAGCAGTGGTTCTCAGCTTTCCTAATGCCATGACCCTTTCATATAGTTCCTCATGTTGTGGTGACCCCCAACCAGAAAATTATTTGCTACTTCATAACTGTAATTTTGCTACTGTTATGAATCGTCATGTAAATATCTGATATGCAGGATATATTTTCATTGTTAAACATTGAACATAATTAAAACATAGAGATTAATCACAAAACAGTATGTAATTATATATTGTGAAATAGTTATTTGTAATGACAAATAAGTGAAAATTTGTCTGGCACCATGGTGTAGCATGGGTAACAGTCTTCACGCTGGGTACTCGTATGTGGGCGTATGTGCATGTGGGTGGACCCACCTGGAGATGGATAGAGGAGTGGTGTCTCGGTTTCTAAGACCATCGGAAATATATGTTTTCTGATGGTCTTCGGCGACCCCTGTGAAAGGGTCATTCAACCCCCCAAAGAGGTCACGACCCACAGGTTGAGAACCACTGTCTTAGAGGATCACTAGGAGTTGGAATTGCCTTGATGGCAGTGAGTTTGGTTTTTGGCTTGGTGGCCCTTATACTGTCTAACCAGTTTGTACCAGTGGGTTCTGACACCTGGGGGACTGCGTGTGTGTCCGAGTTGAGGTGGGCTTCATTTTTACGGGGTGATTTTTGGGAAGCACTATTTTTCTTCCAAGGTGTCTCTGGGTGGGGTTGAGGCCCTAGTCTTTAGGTTGGCAGTTTAGCCTGTTCACCATTTGTAACATCTGCATTCTCTGTATCATGCTTATTCATTTTACGTCTGATCTGACTCCCACACTAGACTATAAACCTTTTGGGGACAGGGGCTTTGGTCCCTTTGTTCCACGGGGGAAATCTCTAAGCCCACAAGAATGCCTGCAAGGTAGCAGACATCCATAGCATTTGTGGAGTGAATGAAAGAAAGACTAGGTTGCTAAAATATTTCAGTTGAATTGTTTGCCTTTATAACAGATAATGGCTTACTTATCATTTTGTGGGGTTTATTTTTTATTTTTTTATTAGCAGCCCTGGTGGTGCAGTGGTTACGCATTGGGCTGTGATACACAAGGTTAGCAGTTCAAAACCACCAGCTGCTCCGTAGGAGAAAGACAGGGTTTTCTACTCTCATCAAGAGTTAGTGTTAAAAAAAAAAAAAAAAAAGAGTTACAGTGTTGGGGGTTGGGGGGAGGCATAAAAAAGAAAAAAAAGAGTTACAGTGTTGGCAAGCCAGTCAGGGTGCAGCATAGCACCATTGAAGCATACAACGCTCCTCTAGTTCTGTAATGCTTCCTACTCCCCACTGTTGTGACCCCCAATATTACCTTACAAATCCGGCTAGACCAGAGCACGTACACGGGTACAGATAAGAGCTCGAAACACAGGGAATCTGGGATGGGTAAACTCCTCAGGACCGATAATGAGAGTAGTGATATCAGGAGGGTAGGGGAAGGTGGGAGGAGAAGGGGGAACTGCTCACAATGATCTACATATAATTCTCTCCCAGGGGGACGGACAACAGAAAAGTGGGTGAAGGGAAACATCAGTCAATGTAAGACATGAAAAAAATAATAATTTATAAATTATCAAGGGTTCATGAGGGAGGGAGGGTGGGTGAGGAAGGGGGAAAATGAGAAGCTGATATCAAAGGCTCAAGAAGAAAGAAAATGTTTTGAGAATGATGATGGCAACAGATGTACAAATGTGCTTGACACAATGGATGGATGGATGGATTGTGATAAGAGTTATATGAGCCCCCAATAAAATGATTTTTTTTAAAAAGTTACCGTCTTGGAAACTCACAGGAGGCAGCTTTACACTGTCCTGTAGGGTCAGTATGAGTTGGCATTAACTCAATAGCTTGGAGATTAGCAGTCCACCCTGTAACCCACCGTGGCACTAAGGAACCGGGAAGTACTTCTCCTAAGGATCCCTGGTGGTCCTGTGGGTGATAGTTGGGCTGCGAGTAGTAGGATCAGCTGCGCAAACCCCCCAGCCACCCTGGGGGAAAGATGAGGCAATCTGCTTTCATAGGGATTCCCAGCCTCAGCACCCCAGGGAGCTGTCCTGCTCTGTCGGACAGGGTGGCTGTGAGGTGGCGTCAGCTTGATGACGGTGGGTGTATGTGATCACAGTGGCATTTTAAGGACAAGCATCCACCCTTCCATGTGATACCAAGTTACAGCCTTTCCCTTTCTTTTCGTCTGACACAGGAAAGCCAGGGTGCGCTGATGCAGTGGCTGGAGACACATGTGGGTCCCGAAGGAGTAATCACATCCAGCAAGTGCTCCCTTAAATTCGTGTCCTCCTGCCCACCCGACACGGAAATCACCCCGTCCTCTCTCCCTGTTGTCACGGACTCCGAGCACTTCTCATCAGAACACTTTGACTTGGAGATCTATCGGCACAACCTGCAGACACAGCATCTGGGCAAAACCATTCTGTTCGCTGAAGTGACATCCACCACGATGACCCTTCTGGAGGGGTGAGTGCCGGGAGACCATCTACCTGCTCACCGGAAGGCAGCCTGTTAGGGCCTCTACTCAGTAATCAGTGGAGGGGAGGGGACAGAGTTACATAGAGCAGTGCATTTTAATCAACCTACCTACCACCAAGAGGGGCATAGCAACCCTGTTAAACCCTAGAAGAGTTACAATGTCGGAAGAGAAGCGAAATTCAGTTCTTTGAGAAGAATTGTCTTTTGAGGAACAGGAGGTTGTTTTACTTTGGGGCTCATCCTATAACGAGGCCTTTCACATTGCCCTTGGAGAAAGAGTATTAAGGGGAAATGTTTCTCCGGTGACGTTACCGCTGGAAAGCAGCTACTTCTGTGGTGTTGGAACCATTGTTGGACATTTAGTTTAGGGGGTTTTGTAAGGGTGTTAGAATAGCAAAATTGACTGGTGGTTAAGCTGTGTTAAATGGAAATGATTACAGAGTTTTGTATTCTGAAAACCTGTCTTGTTAGGGTCCCGCCCAAGACAGTTGTAAGCACCCTAATCCTGTGAGATGTTTGGAATGCAGTCCAAGTGACAGTTCTCTTTTTCTGTCCTTCTGTTTTATCAACTGAGTGCAGGCTGACAAAGCAAAACAGATGAAGGCATTTTTTTACCCCCAAATTAATGAGTATCAATGAGTAACAGTCTTATGTTATGCTCAGCTGGTTTAAGATGGTAGCGTTAGGGAGAGAAGAAAAACAGAAGAACATCCCGTAACATGGGGTCAGGATTTAAGGAGGAAGACCTGAAAAATCATTGGAGCAAGTTTCAGGGATGGAATCTTCACATCTGGGAGTGCAGGTTTGAAGAGATATATAACTCAGCACACAGACATACCTTGGCCTTCCTGCTTATTACGAACTTCTGGGATTTGATAGTGTGTAGATGTAAGATGAAAAGACAGCGTTAGCACTTTACTGACTCAAAGGAATTGAAAAGGCGATTTCAGTGGTCTGGTCGTGTGTAGAGAAAGCATTCCTGCAGGACAATGGCAGAGCGAGGGAGGTGGAGTAGGAAGGAGAAGGGGCTGATAACTAGGAATCCTTCTTGCCTGGGTTCGTTCAGGTCGTCAGAGGTACCTTTCCCTTCAGTGATCCCTGCCTCTCTCTCCAGTCCCCAGAAGAAAAGAGAAGCAACCTGTTCCCGTGGAGGGAACAGTCGTACCTGGTTTGTTACCAGCCCCGTGGGAATGCATTGCTATCCTGTGAAGGCTGTGCTGTACTGAAGGGGTGTCCTTGGTACTAGTTGCTATCCGGCCCACTCTGCCTCATGGCAGCCCGCCTTAGCTGGAATTGCAAAACGTTCGAGTGAGCCTGTGATAGTGATATTTTCTAAGTAAAGAACCAGGCACGTATTTAACAGAGGATTAGGGGGTATAAAGTACAGGTTAAAAAATCATCAGCACTTTCGGCTATTTTGTTGTCTCTGTGCACAGTGGTGAAGCATATTGTTGTGGCGGGGCAATCTAGGAAAACTAGAGCCCTGGAAGCTTACATAGTGGGGATGTATTGGGCTGCTAACCACAAGGTCAGCAGTTCGGAACCACCAGCCATTCTGTGGGAGAAAAATGAGGCTTTTTAGTCCCCCAAACAGTTACAGTCTCTGAAACCCACAGGGTTTCCTGTCCTATTGGTCACTCTGAGTTGGCATGGACTCTGTGGCAGTGAGTTTGGCTTTTGTTGTTTGGTCACTAAGCCCAGAGTGGACAGGGCATCACCACGGAGGCAGCGTCCACCTCACCCAAGGGGGCTGAGTGAAGCACTGCTGGTTTCCTTCTCTCTGGGGAGCCGGTGATTTAGGGTGGGGAAAACAAGGTTTGGTAAAATGCTGCGTGAACACTCTTGAATATCATTACGAGTTCTGTCTTCCTTTTATTGTGAATTTGGTGGTGGTGGTGGGCGGGTTACATTTCAGACCATCAACTCTGTCTGCAACAGCTCAGCCCACTCATCAATCCCCATTCCTCTGATCCTCCGTTCCCTCGTGTGGACCTCCATCCTCCCTTTCACCCAGGTCAGTACCTTCCTGAGTTATGAGGATCTGGAAGTTTCTCTTCTGGCTAATATTTTGAAGGGGCATCGTATTTTCTCATTGACTACAAACTCCACCAACCTGCTCCCCAGTGCTGAAGTGGGCTTGGAAAGCTTCTGTCGGAAGCTCATAGTGGGTGTGAGGGCCTGCTAGTCTTGCAGCCCTCAGGGACCACCTCTCTCTGTGGCCTCTGAGGTTGTGTTTGGGATCCAGTGAGGAGGAAAGAACTAGGGGAAGAGAGCGTTGTAGAGGGAAATGGGGAAACTGCTGGCTTATAGCTGAAGTCGAAGAACTTGGATGGTCCGTGGACCTCCCCCTGCAGCTCCCTCCCAAACACAATCGAGAGACGCCGATGGGTAAGTGAACCTTCCCCAGCGCTCCAGTCTAGCTGCGACACTCCAGCTAATTTGATTGCTGTTGATGCTGGTGGCCATCGAGCCACCAGCTGGTGACTCGCGGCAGCCTTATGTTGAACAGAATGCAGTGTTGCTCAGCACGGTGCCGCCATCCTTATTGGTATGTTTGAGTGCTTGTCTCCATTCAGTTCCTTGAGGGCGTGTTCATTTTTGCTTCCTTCGGCCTCCCCAAACGTGGTGTCCTTTTCCAGCGCTGGTCGTCCCTGACGACGCTTTCCACAGGGTGTCTCCAGGAGCATTCTAGCTGTATTTCTTCTAAGTCTGGTTTGCTCATGCTCTGTCCATGGTGACTTCAGCGTTCTTCTCCAACACCACAGTTGAAATACATCTATTCTTCTTCCTTTTCGTCGCTTGTTCCCGGCTTATAAGTCAATTGATAAAATCATGTCTTGGGTCAGGCGCATCAGTCCTCAGAGTGACATCTTTGCTTCAAGAGGTGATTTAATCCCTGCTCCAATCACTTTCTTCGGCATGTATTTCTGACCGTGGAATGGCTTTCCATGAGTAACATCTCGGGAGGCAATACTTTGCGCATTGCTTGTGGGGCTTGGTTTTTCTCTCTGAGTTGCTTTCTGGTAGGTGTCCCATTGGCTACTAAGCTTAGTTGGTTGGACAGGGTCCCAATAACATGGGTTCTATACTGAATCTGAGCCAGCGAATTTCTCTGTGTCCCATGGTCACACCCTATAGCTTCAGATGTGGGAAGACATTTGCACAAGTGAGCCCTTGGTGGTGGGGTGTCCAGACGGGGCGTGTGTATGGACCACTGCAGGCCTGTTGTCACAGCAGAAATGTACCTCCAGTGGTGTGGTTGGGGACCCTGCACATTTTGCTCAATCTTATGGTAAGCGTTGGTTGAATCTCTGCTGTCAGGAAGCACAAGAGCTTGGCAAGGATAACAGCGTGCTTGTGGTATTTTTGGAATAACCTTTCATTTGATTCATAATGTCTTTTCTGAGGAATTTACACCACGTCTGCATCAGATACTGAATCCACTTAGGTGTGAAGCCATATTGTGGTGAGCCGGATGAACATGGACTTTGTGTATGCTGATTCCCTTCGCACCATAGTACATCCTACAGAATCCGCCCCAGGGGCTGGTTGTTGATTGTTTCCATTTCCATATTAAGTAAGTTTACATCGTGTTGTTATTTGTTAGTGGTGATTACTGTTGAGTTGATTCCAAGTCATGGTGACTGCATGTGTGGCAGTCAAACAACTGCTCTCCAGAGGATTACCTAGACTGGAAACTTTGGAAGTATTGCCAGACTGTCAGTCTTTCAGGTAGTAGTGGAAACATTGACCCATGTGCATTACCCAGAGATTCCCACGTTTAGATGTTAAGTAACCTCTTTCATTGATAATTGTTTAGCCCTTCATTTTCTAGGTTTCAGTTTGGCTTTGTTGTATAGAATAGCATCATGACACCCTGCTGTTTGGCAGGCACTGTGTTAGGCCTGTGAGAGTAGTGGACAAGGTGCTAGCATTGCCTCGAGATGCATTTGCAGCACCAGCTCCCAGGGCACATCACATACAGTTCATAAAGCTCTATGCACTTTGGGTCTGAGCCCGGAGAGGTCAGGCCTGTCGAGCGTGGTGGGTGCAGAAGGTAGCCGGATGCAGTAAGTGCGGTGGTCAGCGCCAAGAGAGGTGGACGGCAAGTCTTCTCTTGGATATTAGCGTATGCCGGGCAGACTTTCTATTTGATGTCGTAAAGCTCACACGTCTGGTGGAGGAGATGCTGGAACTGAAGCCTTTATTCTCAACCAGCTGAGTCATCTGGGCAGTGTCATGTCCCTGCTGGACCTGACTTTGCTCTGCCTGCTGAGGCACCTTGAACTCTCATCTCCTTCGACCCAATGACTCCCCTCTCCTAGGAACCTAGTGCTTCTCTAACAGAGAAGCTTTAACAAACAAAGGGGAGGCTTTTTTATTTTTTATTTATTTATTTTTTAATCGTTTTATTAGGGGCTCATACAACTCTTATCACAATCCATACACACATCAATTGTGTAAAGCGCATTTGTACATTCATTGCCCTCATCATTCTCAAAACATTTTTTCTCCACTTAAACCCCCGACATTAGGTCCTCATTTTTCCCCTCCCTCATGACTCCCCCCTCCCTCATGAGCCCTTGATAGTTTATAAATTGTTATTTTGTCATATCTTGCCCTGTCCGACGTCTCCCTTCACCCACTTTTCTGTTGTCTGTCTCCCAGGGAGGAGGTCATGTATAGTTCCTTGTAACCCGTTCCCTCTTTCCTACCCATTCTCCCTTTACCCTCCCTGTTTCGCCACTCATACCACTGGTCCTGTAGGGCTCATCTGCCCTGGATTCCCTGTATTTTCAGTTCCTATCTGTACCAGTGTACATCCTCTGGTCTAGCCAGACTTGCAAGGCCGAATTCAAGTCATGGTACTGGGAGCAGGGAGGAAACATTTAGGAACCAGAGGAAAGTTGTATTTTTCATAAGCAAGTCTTTTCTCTCAGTTTCAGTGGCTAAAGCCCAAATTCAGGGTCCTGGCTAGAGGAAAGCTG